TATCTACCATGGTGTTGCCAATTGGCCTGGTGGTGAGGATTTTTGTTTTCTTGATGTTTAGATGCAATCCCTATCAAAGACTACAGTCCTTGACCTTCTGCACCGAACACTTTTAATCTTCCTCAGTTTCAGTGAACAAGGTTGTATCATCTCCATAATGAAGGTTACTAATGAGTTTTCCTCCAATCCTGATGCCACATTCTTCTTCATAAAGTCTAGCCTCTAGGATGATCTAATCTGCATATAGATTGAAAAAAGGTATGGAGAAAGATTATAGCCCTGCCACACTTGTTTCTTTCTTTTGAACCATACAGGATTCTTTTGCTCTGTTCATATGACAGCTCCCTGGTCTAGCTAGGTATAGGTTTCCCATTAGTAGTTCTATTAATATATTATAAAAATGTGATTTTAAATTTTTTAATTAAATTTATTAGTGTCGTGTACTAGACTGAAATTCATAGCTGGCCCTCCAAAAAGTTTTAAGAGGCAATTAATCCCAAGGAGGAGATTGCCCATCTTTTCCCCCAGAGGAGCTGTACCTCTGTGTTGCCAGCACACGTCCTTACCACTAAGCCACCATAGTTCCTGTGAATCACAAGCTCAATAAAAACTGTTGCAGGAATTTGTTTGTCTCTTTATAATGTCTTTATTTCTAAAGTTTTATATACTGAAGTTGATAAAACACTTTCAAAATCTTGTTGCTGAAAAATTAAGCATGGCCTTATCCCTGTACATTCGAGCAAAATTTGTAACTTACTGTCTTAGCGTTAAAAGAGCTTTCTTAAGATCATAAAATCTCAGGCCAAAGTGGTTTTGACTTTCAAAATGACATTATTCTATTCAGGGAAGAACTGAATTTGACTGATGGTCAGCAGAGTGGAAATAAGGCATTCACAACAGCTGTACTGGCTGCAATCACTGTCTAGAATATAACAAAAATCCCCATGAATTCACAAGAAAAACTAGATAATGCCATTTTTATATGGACAAGACATGAATCAGCAATTTACAAAAGGAAAAAAGCCTATGAAAAAGTGTCCAACTTCTTTAGCAATGAGAGAAAGACAAATTAAAACAACAATTGACACCATTTTATACCCATCAGATTATCAGTATTTGTAAAGTAAAGGAACTATCTTACTATATTAGGTATTATTGGCGTTACAGGAGTCCAGAATAAGAGCTGCACTGCAAAGTGGTCTGGGGGTGGGGGTGGGGAACTGTATGACAATGAAAGAACTTTTTTCCCAAAGAAAACAATCCGTAGGGGGGAGGGAGGAAAATGTGCAACAATGAACGATTGGAAAGCAAGTTCTTTATAAACTTCCATTAAAATCTCAATTAAAAAAGAAAGAGAAAAACAGCTGTTGAAAAACCTATAAAAATGTAAACTATTTATGGTCCCTGAATTATGGAAATTCAGAATGGTTGGGTACATAATTAATTAACTGATTAATACACAAAAAAAGACATACTATATGCTTAAGAGTAAAATTTCAAGTTAATTCAGTAAAGATTGGTTAGGGCTGAAGGGGTGAGGACAGGTTCATGAAAGAGGTTGAATCTGAGTTGTACGTGATTCAGGCTACAGTCTTCTTAATTGCCTGTTATGCATCAGAGAGCTAGACAATGAATAAAGATGACAAAAGAAGAATTGATTGCCTTTGAGTTGTGGTGCTGGAGAAGAGTACTGAATACCCCATGGACTGACTAAAGAGCAAACAGGTATGTCTTGGGAAAAGTGCAGTCTGAATGCTCTTTGGAGGCAAGGATGATGAAGCTTTGACTTTCATATTTTAGGCATGTGGCTAGGTAAGGCTGTTCCTTGGAAAAGGACATCATGCTTGGAAAGAAAATCAGTAAAGGAGAGCAAGAACCCCAGTGAGATTTAGCAACAGGCTCTACAGTCTCAGAGATGATGAGGATGACAAGGTTGGAACAGGTTTCAAAATGACTATTCATTGGGTCACTATGAGTCATACTCAACCCGATGGCACCTAACAACAATAGAGTTGGTTAAGACTGGAATAAGCTGAGCCAAAGAAAACATCTTGGTGAGAGGAAAAAAATATAGGCACAATATCATTCTCAAGGAAGAAGAATGAAATAGATAAAGTAATGAACAACATTACTGCTAGGGAAGGAAAGTGGGCAATACTTTTAATTAGCAGAGTGACACCAAACTAGAGGATCTTGAATGCTTCTGTTTACCTGATCAGAAAATATCTACTCTATGCCCATTTTTTTTAAACTGGTGAAGAACATGAAACCCAAAGAGGAAAAGTGACTTGCTTGAGGTCATACAGCACAAAGAAACAGTTTTTAGAGGCAAGGACTTTGAAACTTCATCTCACATATTCTGTGTGTGTACTGTCAAATCAGATCTGACTGGTACAGAAGGAGATTGTCCCTCCTTCTCCAGCAGAGCATCTGGTGGATTTGAACTGCATACCTCTGGGATTGCAGTGCAGCTTCTTGCCACTAGGCCATCAGAGCTCTCACAATCTCACATATTTTGGACATATCAGGAGGGTTAGGAAAGGTGAAGTGTCAGAAAAAGAGAGAGGAAGACCCTTAACAAAATGGACTGGCACAGTGGCACAGAGACCATAATAATGGTCTCACACAATTTAGAGACTGGGAGGTGGATCAGGACAGAGAAAAGTTCAGATCTGCTTTTCACTGGGTTGCTATGAGTCATAGTTGACTGGATGGCATCTAACAACAACAACAGATTTGAATGGCTGTAAATCTTAGGATAAAGTGGGAAATAAAATCAGGAAAACAAATCACAAGGGATGCATCTAAAATGATGTCATGAGGAAAACAAATAAAAATATCTCCAAGGAAGAAAATACAATATTTGAAGGTAGAGTCAAAATAGGCACCCAGGAAGAGACAGAAGTCAATAAATAGTGCTTTCAAGTTCTCTTCTGGAAATCCAACAATAGTGGTAACACTGCATAAGTTATCAAGTACCATTCCTATGTGCCAAATTCTGTTCTAAGCATGCTAGAGAGACTAACTCATTTAAACTTTACAACTGTCTTATAAGGTAAACACCATTGTTATGATCATCATTTTACAGAAAATGAAACTAAGCCACAGAGAGGTTAAATAATTTGTTGAAGGGCACGTAACTAAAAACTGACAATTATTATTTAATCCCCTTTAGGATGGTTTGAGAGTTCATACTTGTTAACTAGTACACATGTTATTAAAATTAGTTTGTTCAGAGGAGGAATCAACTCCTGCAAAGAATTTGTTGTCTTCTCTAGCCTGGGATTTTTTTTTTTTAATTTTTATTAGACTCTTTATATTGTGAAAAACAGAGACTCTCTCACCAAAATAAGTTCATTGTATCACCCTTAATGTTACCACTACCTCCAAAGCAACTTATACATCCTAGGGAAAACAAAAAACAAAGCAATCTGTCATGCATTTCATGTTCTTCCCACTCCACTATCTGTCCCAGGAGAGGAGTCATAAACCTCCTTGGATGGTTCATATAGGGCATAGAACATATTTGCAAGGACTCTGCCCTTCCAGGCTACTCCCATTGCACTTCAGGATCTTGATTATATTGTTTGCACAGAATAATATAACTGGACTTTTATTTCACCCATTCTTAACTCCTATTTCCTAGTTACAGTGAGAGTTGAAAGAAGTTAGTTATACTTTCCTTAAGGCAGCCTATATAGTTGTCATGTGCCTGTCAAGTTCGAACAACTCACAGCTGACCCTTCTGCAGATTTTCAGTAATTGTAAATCACATGGGAGGAGATTGCTCAACTTTTTCCCTCGAAGCACCTGATAGGCTTGAGCCACATTCCTTTGTGTTGGCAGCACAGCTCCTTACCACTAGGCCACCAGAGCTCCCTAACCTACACTAGTCAAAGTACTTTCACAAACAGCTTTTGTAAAGTGAAAAATAACCCATCCCATCCCACCTCATTTTGTCCCCAAAAAGGCAATAATTTTGTGAGTAGGTTATAAAAAATAACTACATCTTTATTTTTCATATATATTTATATCTATTTTACAATCCATATACAAGGGTAAAAGCGATCATACTTAGTCCAGAAGCAACAACTCTGCTGAAGAATTTGGGTGTTTCCTCATTTCCTTCTCTAACATGGCAAAAGCTGTATTCAGCTTAAGATATGTTGAATATGAAATGACAACTCACTCCAGTAGGGATACTAAGAAACAAATATTTCAATTAAGAGAAAAGCCACACAGATTAATAAATGGGATTTATTGCCTTGATGTGGGCAGAGGTGTAGTCATGATAAATGGATCCTGTGAGGCTCTCCTGGATGCCTGGCACAAGGACAACAGAGTCCTCAGCTTAGAAACCTCACATCTTCTTTCACCTCCCCAGAGAAGTCCAGGATTCCAGGGATTTCTGCTCTGAGAAGGCAAGATCCTGGCAGAAGCATAAGAAACCAGAACACTCCTTGCCTGGATGGCCAAAGCTGTTAGCAGTCAGGCTCTGGTCTGGAAGAATCAGTCTGAAGAGGGAGAGAGGAATTCATGAAAGTTATCAGGGAGATCATCTCATCAAAGGTCCTTCCGAGCTCCCAGTCCACCCCTAAATAGGTTAGTCTCGCTTTGTTCCTAAATCATCTGCAAGGACCTTTCCTACAGCTCTTCATTTCACTCCTGAGACAGTATATAGTAACTGTATACACCCACATCCATACATATGTACAGATAAGGGAGTTCTTGTGGTATAGTAGAAGGGAATTGCACCGCTAACCCAAAGGCCAAGTCTTTCTGGTAGTTTGAATCTGGCACTATCTTCAAAGGTGAAAAATGGGCAGTCTTGTTCCATGTGATTTACAGCCAGCCTCAGAAACCCAGTGGAGGGCCAGCTATAAGTCAGTGGCGGCTCAGCAACAATAAGTTGGAGTTTTGTATATGTATAATCAAGTGCCCAAATAAGCAGATGTGCCCCAAAGTAGCTTATACAGGCCTCCACACACAAAGTTTGAAGGTCACTTTATGTCTTCCCCCATGCCACGGAATAACCTGTCTTCCTCCATATACAGCACTGTGTCTAGCTCCCAGGGCTCGCTCACACCTTTCCAGTGCTTTAACATACCCCTTGAACAAGGCCTTCTGAAGTAGATGATGAGAATAGTACCCACAATGATGCCCAGCAGACCTAAGCCAAAGGCCACACCACACAGCACATTCTCTAGAAGATCTGAAGGAAGAGCATTCTGGGGCACTAGAGAAAAAGAGAAGCAGGTCAATTTGGAGACATAGTTAGGAAGCCTTTCGCCCAGCAGAATAGCATAGGTATCTAGGATGACAAAGAAGAAACTGAATATTGGAAAACTAAAGTTGACTTACAGCAAGAGTGGCCTAAATTGGTTCTGAGAAGAGAAAGAACCCTCCCTCCCACAGGTCTATCCTTTTTGTCCCTGAGAAGAGCCAGGCTTCCAGCAAGAAGGACCTCACCCCAAAAGGCAATCGCAGTGTAGCGGTCAATCTCATGAGTCACAATGCAGGAGAAAAGATCAAAGGGTTCCGGTGTGAAGTTTAAATAAGAAAAGGCCTGGAAACTCAGTTCATCATTTGATGAGACAAAGGTGTGTCCAACTCCTTCCAGAGAGACCGAATGATGCTGCCAGCTCACGGACAATGTGGGTGGGAAGAGATTACTGACAAAACAGACCAGTGTGTTGGGCTTGCCGAACTCCAGGGGCTTCAGCGTGAACACTTCAACAACAGGAAACCCTAGTGGAGATTGAGGTAGAAGAGAAAGGGATACGTTTAGACATTGTCTGTGTCACACGGAGGTGAGGGGAGGGAGGAATCAGTAGGGAGGGACTTTGGGAGGCAGAGATGAGAGAGGAGCTGGGACCCTGAATAAAGGAAAAATCAGAGCTGGACATAGAGGCAGAGCCAGACCAATCTGGTTTCTGCCACTGTGACTTACTATCATCCTTCCTGTCCAGACCTCACAGTGACATCTAATTCTATTTTTCATTAAAATGCAGGCATGTCATCAAAGACTTCTATTTTCCCCTTCCATCTTGCTAAGCATAGCAACACAAATGTTAATATCTATGATTAATCAGTAGCCATCAACTGATCATTACTGAATTCACGAAGTTCAATATATAGTTTTGAATGCCTACTATGTGCTAGATACTTGTCTTGAAGACATAGAATGCTGACTGAGACTGGTGGAAATATAAACGTTTGAGGGGAGGACCAGAAAGCTTTAAAGATGGAGAGCTGGCATAGAGGGGAATAAGATTAATGAGGTTGAGAATGCCAGAACCCCCACCCTGCACCCATGCCCCTGGTCTAACCTCTGGACACTGGAATTTCCCCAACAAGCCGTGGGCCTATTTGCTGGATCATCCCCTGGCAAAATTCTTTGTCAAAAGAAATGGCAGAGGCATCTCCCTCATCCTTAGCCCAGTCAGCGAATTCAGCCAGGCGAGGCAAGCGGGTGTTCTGGCTAAAGTCGTAGGAGAAAAGCTGGTCTTCATCGTAGCTTTCAGAGAGTCCCAGGCTTGGATACCCATCCTGGCAGTACACTGTGTGCAGGAACGTGTGGTTCTGCAGGTTGTCTTTCCACACTGTAGTAGGAGCTGCAAATGAAATGGAGAAGGAGGGAGGGCTCCTGGAAGTAGGAGTCAGCTCGTTTTTTAGCTTAGAAAACAGAAAGATCTGCCTCAGGAAAGGGAGCAGGGTGAACGATTGGTGGGATTATATGCCTCTGTGTCTGTTTTCTAGGCTTCTCTTCCCAATAGAGAGAACTTTAGTGGCCTACAAGTAGGGAGTTGTGTGTCAACTCAAAGGTGGGAGATTTGAATTCACTAGCAACTCTTTGGGAGAAAGATAGAAAATCTCCTTCTGTACAACTGAAACCTCTGAAAACCCACTGGAGGGTCACCTATGAATCAGTGCTGACTTAACAGTAACAAGAGTCTCTCAATGGAGAGAAGAGGCACAGAAGATCTCTCCAAACTCGCCGTTCACATAACAAGGTCAAATATTCTAACTGCTTCTAAAGTGACAGATTCAGTCACTATATTAGATATGTGGTTTGTGCATTGCCCAAAGGAATAGAGTCAAGGAAATAAGTGGAGGCTGAAATCTAGCTTGCACTCTGTCCACCTAGCCATGCATCTTAGCACAGGGCTCCATCCTCCCTAAGAAAACATTGTTAGCTACCACTGAGGCAACCCCCAATTCATGGTGATTCCGTATGCAACTGAATCGGGCTGTTATGATCCATAGGGGTTTTTTATTGCCTGATTTTCAAAAGCATATCACCCAGTTTTTCTCTCTGGTCAACTTGAGTTTGGACACTCCACTGAAACATGTTCAGCACTGTAGTAAGACACAACCCTCAACCAACAGATGAGTGATGACTAAACTTGAGGAGAATTAGCCAGGAATGGAGACTCAGTTTCCTGCATAAAAAGTGGGATTCTACCACTGAACCAACACTACCCCCTCAAAGGGAACACCTTGTCTAATCCACATGTGGCCACCATATCGACTTGTGAAGGCCCTGGAGAGATTACTCATTCTGAGAAGAGATAGGAAGAATAGTTATAGCATCTCAAGACACAAATGACACTGTCCCACTCTACCCCAAGACATCGCTGTACTCTAGTCTGCAGGTTTTTCTTTAGCCCTTTCATTTAGCATCAGGTCTCTGAAAATCTCTCCCCTTATCTCAGCACTAATGCCTAGCAATCACAGGACTGGGGAAGTGATTGCTCTAGCTAGAGGAAATAATCCCATGGTGGAAACCTCAGACATGACTGTTCCCAGCCAACAGGGAGGTCTCTAAGCAAAACCCAGAATAATGCATATTCAGAGTATAAGGAAACCTTGGAGATTATTTTTCCCCTTTTGCTTCCATCCATTGCAGAGAAAGAAATGAAGTATAATGAAGTTAAACTATCTCAAAAATCCCAAGTTAGCCTGATGCCAAGAGTACAATGTAGAAATAACATTTGTTCAAATATCCTCATTCTACTACTTTCTAACTCTGTGGACGTGAACAAGACATCTAGAATTTTTACGTCTTCTTTTCTTTATTATAAAGTGCATGTCATAATTTCTGCTTTCAGAGATCTTCTTAAATTGAGTAACATGTAAAGTATCTCTGACATTGTTTGCAATCCATGAAGTTACTTTCTCAATTCTGTTGTTTTCTCTGCTATCATAGTATTTCCACCCTTTTTACAGCACAACAACTCTTCAAATGCTGCAAGTCTGTCTCCTTAGGTTCTAAGCCTGACAGAATTGAAGCAAGGGGAAGATAGCACCATACCTTCAGGGGTGGCCCAGGAGTGGGGCAGCAGGCACAGAAATTGCAGCAGTACTAGCAGCACAGCTCCTTGGTTCTGCTCATGATCCATATCTTCACACCAAACAGTGGTCTCTGAGCTATCAATCCAGCGGACCCAGGTGCCCAAACTTCCTATCCAGAGGGTAACCTTACATCATGTTCTGTCAGCGCACTCCCAATAGTTGCCTTTATCCTTTTGGCTAAACGAATCACAGGCGTGAACAGTGTTGCATCATCAGTTGCTAGGGAAAGGTCTTCAGCCAGCAATCTCTCAAAGACTTGATTCTTTCAGCAGGCCAGGGTGTGATGTGTAGCTAGGGTTGACAGACCAGTGGAGAAATGCCTGCCTCCTGGTGGAGTTCCCTCTTCGGTGTCTGGCAGCCTCAACCTGCAAGTAGACCAAAAAACTCTCCAGAGCAGTGTCTCCTAGTGGCAGAATTCTGCAGTGTTGTTATTGTAGTTAGGTGTCGTCAAGGTAACTATGACTCATAGCTACCCTACATACATTAGATCTGAATCTTGCTCTATCCTGTGCCATCCTCATGGTCTCTGATATGCCCGAGCTCATTATTATAGTCACTGTGTAAATCCATATTTTTGAGGGTCTTCCTTTCTCTGACCCTCCACCTTTCCCAAAATGATGTCCCTTTCCAAAGGGCATCCTGACAACATGCTGGCATGTCCTCCTGACAATGCACCCAAACCATATGAGACAAAGCTTCACCATCCTTGCCTGGATGCTATTCCTCCAAGACAGACCTGTTTGTTCTTTTTGCAGTCCATGGAATATTCCATATTCTTTTCTAACACCACAACTCAAAGGTATTGATTCTTTCTCTGACATCTTTAGTCAATTGTCTAACTTTCAGATGCATTGGTAATAATTGAAATGGCTTGAATAAGGTGCACCTTAATATTTAAACTGACAGTAGACTTTTCCAATGTAACACATCTTTTAATTTCTTGACTGTGGCTATTCTGGGTGTCAAATGTGGATCCAAATAAAAGAGAAATGTTGACTTCAATCTTTTCTCCATCTACCGTGATGTTGCATACTGGTCCAGTAGTGAGAATTTTTTTTCTTGATGTTGAGATGTAACAAGAATTTAAGACTGTAGTCTTAGATCTTCTGCAGTAAGTTAGTCAAGCCTTCTTCACTTTCAGCAGGCAAAGTTGTGACACCTACATAACAAGGTTGTTGATGTGTCTTTTTCCAATCCTGAAACCAACTTGTTCTTCATATAGTCCAGCTTCTCAAATGATTTATTCATCAAACAGATTGAATAGGTATGGAGAAAGGATACAACCCTGTTGCACACCTTCCCTGATTTTTCAACCATGCATTCCCTTGCTCTGTTTGGACAACATCTTCTTGGTCTAGGTATAGGTTTTTCATGAGCACAATTAAATGTTCTGGGATTTCCATTCTTCTCAATGTGAGCCATAACTTGTTATGACCTACACAGTCAAATACCTTTGCAGAGTCAATAGAGCTCAAATAGACATTCTTCCGGTATTCCCTGCTTTCAGCCAGGATTGTTCTGACATCAATAACGACTCAGAATTGACTCATAGCTGATCCTCCAGTGGATTTTCAGGGACTGTACATCACACAGGAAGAGATTGCCCAATTTTTTTTTACAGAGCTGCTGGTTATTCAAACCGCCTGCCTTTAAGTTGTCAGTTCAGCTCCTTAGCACTAAGCCACCAGTCTAGAAGAGCCAATGAATAAATAATTACACAATGATGCAAAGAATTAAAATCATTCACCCTAGAATTCCATACCACTGAGTACATCTGGGATTGTAGTGACCAGGTAGGACAAAATAGAACTACTCAATAGACTTCGTAAGACCACACATCTTTACAGAAGCAGACTAGAATGCCTCTTCATCTTTCTCCCACGTAGTAACCGATGAAGTTAAACCTCAAACCTTTTTATTTACCAGATAAATTTTTAACCATCTTAGGATGGCTTTTAAAATTCAGGTGGGTTATACTCAAGGTCATTTTTTTATGCTCATGTATTTCCTTTAATTTTCTTCCACTTCAATTTGAATTTCCATACGAACAATCGATGGTCTCTTCCAAAATTTGCTCCTGACGTTTTTCTGAATAATGATACTGAGATTCTTCACTGTCTCTGCCCACAAATCGTCCATTTGATTCCTATATACTCTGTTACGTGGGATCCATGTATATACCCAACATTTATGTTGTTGTTGTTGTTATGTGCCGTCGAGTCTTTTTTGACTCGTAGCAACCCTATGTACAACAACCCTAAACCCTGCTCTATCCTGTGCCAATTTCATTGCCTCTGACACACCCATCCGGATTACTCCAGTCACTGAATCAATCCACCTCATAGAGGGTCTTCCCCTCCTGCGCTGTCCCTCCACCCTACCAAGCATGATGTCCCTCTCCAAAGACCTGTCTCTCCTTACAACATGTCCAAAGTATGTCAGACGAAGCCCCAGAATCCTTGCCTCCAAGGAGTAGCCTGGTTTAACCCTCTCTAAGACGAATCTGTTTGTTTTCTTGGCAGTCCATGGTACACTCAATACTCTTCTCCAGCACCACAGCTCAAAGGCGTCAATTCTCCTTCTGTCCTCCCTAGTCATTGTCCAGCTCTCTGATGCATAACAAGTGATTGCAAAAACCATGGCCTGTATCAGGCGCACCTTAGTCTCCAGAGAGACACCATTGCTCTTGAGTACTTTAGAGAGGTCCCTAACAGCAGACTTTCCCATCGCAAAAAACCAACATTTATAGTTTTTAAATAAAAAGATGTTGCGAAGAATAAGGTCATTTTCCTTATAAAATTCTATTTTGCGCTTTCTAGCCTCATTTCTGTCACTAAAGCCAATTGTCCAACTATTAGTCCTTCTTCTTTATATCCAGTGTTTGCATTCTAGTCACCAATTATTATTAGTGCATCTTGATAGCATGTTTAATAAATTTCAGACTGTAGAAACTGGGAGAAATCTTTGATTTCATCAACTTTGGCATTAGTAGTTGACACATAAGTTTGGATAATAGTCATATAAGCATGTCTTCCTTGTTTTCATACCAATGTTCTTTTATCACTGATAGCACTGTACTTCAGGATAGATCATGAAATTTCTTCTTGACAGTGAATGAGACACCATTCCTCTTCAATTTGTCAGCATGGCAGATCATATGATTGTATGACTTAGTCTGTTTTAGTCTAGAAGCTCTTTTGAAATCTGTCCACTATATAGTAACATGCTAATATTTCACATATCAGTGGCATAACATCCAGCATCACAGCAACACTCAAATCAATAGAGTACAATAAACTGATGAACAAGAAATGGAACAGAATTTTGTTGTTGTTATGTGCCATAGAGTAACCTGCAACTCATAGCGACCCTATGTACAATAGCTCTGAAGCCTGTCCTATCCTGAGCCAGTCTCAAGGACTCCAACAAACCTACCCTCATTACCTAAGTTGCTGTATCAATCCATCTTATCCAGGGTCTTCCTCTCCGGCTCTGTCTCTCCATCCTTCTGAGGATGTCCTTCTCCAAGAACCAGTCCCTCCTGGCCATGTGGCTAAAGTATGTGAGATAGAGCTTCAAAATCCTAGCCTCCAAAAAGAAACTTGGTTTCACCTTCTCCAAGACAGATTTATTTGTTTTCTTGGAGGTCCACAGTATGTGCAAGACTCTTCTCAAGCATCACAACTCAATATTGTTGTTATGTGCCGTCAAGTCGCCTGCGACTCATAGCGAACCTGTGTACAATAGTCCTTAAACTTGCTCTATCCTGTTCCAAACTTATTGTCTTTGACACCTCCTACCCACATTACCCCAGTCATTTAATCAATCATCTTATCGAGGTCTTCTTCTCCTGCACTGTTCCTCCACTCTCCCAAGCATGATGTCCCTCTCCAAGGACTGGTCCCTCCTTGCAACATGTCCAAACTTTGTCAGATGAAGCTTCAGAATCCTTGCCTCCAAGGAGCAGCCTGGTCTCAGCCTGTCCAGGACGAACCTGTTTGTTCTTCTATTAGTCCATGGTATATTCAATACTCTTCTCCAGCACCACAGCTCAAAGGCATAAATTCTCCTTTTATCATCCCTAGTCACTGCCCAGCTCTCTGGTGCATAGGAAGTGATTGCAAAGATCATGGCCTGTATCAGGTGCACCTTAGTCTCCAGACTGGCATCATTGCTCTTCAGTACTTTGGACAGGTCTCTGACAGCAGACTTTCCCAATGCAATACATCTTTTAATTTCCTGGCTGCTGGTACCAAGAGTGTTGATTGTGGAGGTAAGCAAACTAAAGCTGTTAACAAGCTCAATTTCTCACCATCCATCATGGTGCTGCCAATTGGCCCAGTGATGAGAATCTTTGCTTTCTTAATGTTGAGCTTCAATCCATATTGAAGGCTGCATGCAGTCCTTGATCTTCTGCAGCAAGCACTTCAGATCCTCCTCAGTTTCAGCAAGCAGGGTTATGTCATATGCATAACGCAGATTGTTGATGAGTCTTCCTCCAATCCTGATGCCACATTTCACCTCATAGAGCCCACCCTCCCAGATCATCTGTTCTGCATAAAGATTGAAAAGGTGTGGAGATAAGACACATCCCTGATGTACACCCTTCCCAATTTTGTTGGTTTTGAAAAAAGCTAAACAATTTGACCAGCATAGCGGTGACAGAAGAGGGGTGAAGGAGACATCCCATGATAAACATTAGGCAGATAGACAAAGATCCAAAACATACAGAGCTGGGTTTATTTTGTTTTGTTTTGTTCTTCAGAGCTGTTTTGGAAACACTATGTATTTGCTTGTGAATATTGTTGAGACTGTTCATGTGTCTTATGTGATAAGAGGAATAGAGAGGGTCAAAAGGAGCCAGAGTTTTAGGCAAGAGCCGGGACACATAGGTCTTGGTATACCAAAAGGAAGTTCTGGCTTTCACATAGCAAATGATAGAGATACTAAAACTGGAGACTGACACATCATTTTAAAATTTTATTTTAAAAATGTTCTACTCTTTCAAACAATGGATTGAAGCTTGGAAATCATTGATGTAAAACTG